ACTAAGCAGGAAGAAAACCGTCCACGAAAGCCACTAGCTTGGCATAACTGGCTCGGTCATTGTCCCCCAGCATGTGAGGAATGGCGATATAATCGTTGGTTGGCCGGGTAAAATGAGCCCCACTCCAGCAGAAGGGGAACTTCAATAACCTATGTGCCTGTATTTTTCCCTGCTCGTCGACAAGGGATTCCTCGTCCTCATTTGTTGAAACCTCCCAGACAAACTTGGAGTCGATGGCCTTCTCTAATACGGGCTCGGTAATATAAAGCCTTTCCTTGAAAGTCCTAATGGACTCAGAAAAGGGCTTGAATAGCTTCCTCCCCTGCTTCAGGGAGACCTAATCGAACTTCCTCCCTGAAACTTGTCATTGAAGTTGGAAGACGGTAAAGAAAAAGGGAAGGGTAGCTCCAATCTCCAGATAATCGCACACCAGCTCGAATCTCGTATGAAGAAAATCGAGTTTGGATGTAATTGTGAAGGTGCTAGATCCATATGCACGAAGATTGCCCTCTGAAACTCTGTAAAGGGCAACTTCAATCCTATCTCTTTAAAGACATATTTATACATAGGGAACCTCTCCCCATATGCCGAGCAAATGCGACCGTCCTCTCCGGGGAAATGGACCTTCCACTCTCCCTTAGCTCCCACCGTCATGAAGGCGTCTCTGGTGTAAGAGGCGAAGAGGGAGGCATGCTCCCTAGGTTCCGCAACGAACCACTCCTCTGCGGTAGTCCTTAAAGTAGGTGTTTCACCAGCTTCCCGGGGCGTGGAAGTATCTTCAGTATCGCTATCCTCCGAGGAGCCCTCATCGGACAGATCTCTCAGGATTTCATCCTCAGCTTCATGTGACATCTCCTTTACCTGAAAAGTAGAGGACAAAAGTGAATTCGATGACAAACTCAAATCCACCCTTCCACCGCTAGTCAAGTGAAAGGGGGCGCGAAAGCCTGAAGACAACGTCACTGACCTAATCCCTACTAAAATGGCAAAGCTACAGTGCAAGGAGACGCCCAGGGCAATCCCTCTAACATACGCGGGAAGAGCCTCCGCGATACGCTACCCAAAATTTCTATTGGAAAACCACCGAAAAACTCGTAAGTACACCGGAAATTCATGGTTTCCCATGACGACAAACGCGTTCGTTGTTGCAACGACATCAGAATCAACTAAAAGGCCTAAGCTTCTAAGGCTCTGGCGATGCCGACAACAGCGAAAAATGGCCAAACCATTGCCAGCCGCCAACAGTCACCGGAAATAGCCCCTACGCTGCCTAGTTTTGCCCTAACCACATGCAGTCTAAAAATGAAGAAAGTAAAAAAAACCTATAACAGAGATCAACTCAAGTACTTACGTGGTCGAGGAAGGAAGTTTGGGGGTCGAAGAACTTTGGTAAGTGCATGTACCATGGTTGAACGACGTTGAACGGCGACAGACGACGGAATGCAGAAACATAGAACAATGGAAGAAAGAGAAGCGAAAAATGCAAATGAGCAGCTTCTCTCTCTATTTATAAACAGTCCATAGGCACGTGCATGAGCACACACGACTAGGGGCATCATCATGACCATAGCCTAGCAATCATTATGCATTAAATGTGGCACGTGGATCGAGGCACGCATGACACTTTACCTTTTCAGATCCCATCAACCGTTGGGCTCCCCGCAAGTCGGACACACCAGACAATGTTACAGGTCCCCCGATCACAGGTTCCCTCAGGCACCGAGGAACAACCTTATCTCAACAACAGGCTGCCCTTAAGTCATCACTCCCTTGCTCGGGAGCACCGATTTAGGGGGATCCTGTTCTGGACTGACCCAATAGCTAGGCATGACCCAATCCACTTCTGCTTCCAGAACGACCCAAATGCTTAAGTTTAGCCAATTTAGGGCAACATTTACCTTTCTGCCCCTCTACTGGGGAAGGCTGGTTGGTTGATCTCCAGGGTTAACTGTCCCTCTTGTTCCTGCCCATCACGCACGATTCCACCATCCAGAAACAATCATGACGCCTGTGCCCGTTATTGTATCTCTGCCCATGGCAACAACTAGTTTTGGACACCTCTGCCCGTCCTAACAGCTAGTTTCTGACAGTTACATATTCTTTGGGGAGCGAATATCTCGCCCTGAGAATAGAGACCAATGGCTAAGCGCTATGGGCATTATAAAAACCCTCTCATTTGAGAGGGTCAGGTATTCAATAATCATCCTAAGACACACATACTCTGTACTTGCGTTCTTTTTTCCTACTTCTTACTTTAGCATCAGAGTCCCTTGCAGGCACACCCTTCCTCATCTTTCACACTCAGCATCGCAGACGCTGTCTCTGTCCCACTTCAGGTTCTGATCAACCGATAAGATCAATTATGTTTGCTTAAAAGTTCCCGTTGAAATTGAATGTTGATTCGTTTTTCCCCTTTAGCTTAAGTTATTATATTTGTCTTTTCAATGAAACCATTTTAACTAGTTTTTTAAAAGTTGCTTTTAAGTGACGTGGCGTGACCCGTCAACGCTCGTTAAAGAAAATAGACGACAAAACTATTATTTGAAAGAAAATTTGATAAGGACTATATTAAATGTTGAATTATTTATAGGGGCGAAAAAACATATTTAACCCTATTTAATATAATCATTCATTTTTATTATTTATTTATCTCATAAATCATCATTATCATCATCCGAGTCACGATGAATAAACTCTTACTTAACACTTATCATCACATATATTACATATTTACATTGAATATATTCAATGTCGCACATCATCTTGTACATATTTATTTTTTATTTAATGGAAAATTTATAAATATTTTCATATTTAAATTTCATTAACTTTGTCTTTAAATAAAAATAAATTCCACCGAGATGATATTTGACGTGGAATATATTCAATAAAGATATATAATATATGTGATGATAATTGTCAAGTAAAAGGTGATTTATTGTGACTCGGATGATAATGATTTACGATATATAAATATTACAATCATATAAATAAAAATGAATTCATAATAATATAAAAGTATATATTTATCATTTTCAATTAATTAAATGTAATATAAATTTATTTAAATAAAAATAATCAATAAACTAATTAGAAGGGAAATAATCGGATTAGGTCAAAACCATGAAATTAATATACTATTACTAAAAAAAATTGAGTAAATATCACTTTTGTCATTTCCATATATTTATTCATGTTATGTTATACTATATAATGATATTTTAATTACAGCAATACTAAATAAAACCATATAACAACGCCAAATAAAACCACATAACAACAAATAATACCATAGATGCAATAAATAATGTTCAAAACCAACAACAGACAATCATAAAAACTTAAATTGGTCCACCAGTGACAATATTTGCTATATGCGAAAGTGCAATTAACCTTGTATTTTTTTAATATTAGTATACTATCTTCATGGTTTTGATCTAATCTAATTATTTTTCATCTATTTAGTTTATCGATTATTTTTATTTAATCAAATAAAAAAAATAAATATAAATTTTTTAATTATTATAAATTCATTTTTATTTATAAATTTCTGAAATCTTTTTACACAATAGTTCATATACGATAATCATCACATATATTAATATTTATATTAAATATATTTAACGCAACACGTCATATTATATATCTATGTTGAATATATTTAACGCAACACATCATATTAGATATCTATGTTGAATATTCAACGTAACACATCATATTAAATATCTACATTGAATATATTCAACCTCCGTCATATTAGATATATATGTTAAATTTATTTAATGTTACAAACTATTGTATATTTGCTTTATATTTAACAAAAATAATATATATATATATATATATATATATATATATATATATATATATATATATATATATATATATATATATATATATATATAATTTGAATAAAATTTATTACTCAATTATATTTTGATAATTTTAAAGTATTTTATTTTATTTTTGTTTTTTTTCATGAATACATTGACTTTTTTGTTTTCTAAATTTAATATAAAATATAAATTAAATTTATCAGAGTAATTTCTTATATTTAAATAAACATTCATTCAATTATTAATAATATTTACAAAATTTAAAAAAAAAATAATAAATTTTTAACAATGACTAAAATTTGAGCCAAAATTTTTGTTGTAATAGTGAGCGAAAGAAATAATTCAAACCATATCTTAAAAAAAATTTAATAAAATACAAATGTTAATCAGAATCATAAATATAAATAATTTCCATCCATTCAAAGAGAGATACATAATCAATAAATTAAGAAATACAAAAGGCAAATGAAGAAATATTTCAATATTTAAATTTCATTAACTTTAACATTCCAAATTACATGAATTTCAACTCAACTTTCCCTTAATATTCACAAGTTATATATTTTATTTCCTTCATGGAAATTATGCTATTAAATCTGTTTTTTTTAATCAAAAAATAAAATAAATTAATAAAGATGGATTTTACGCGCCACAAATTTGAGCCGGTGAAGATAACACTTTGTGCGAAGGAAAGTAAAAATGACGCAAGATACGGGCAGCAGGCACAGGGACACGTAAGAGGTTCGGGCAACGGGCAGCATAAAGTGCCGTCATTTCCATTAACTGACGCGGTTTCACCCCAACTTACTCGCGAAATTTAAAATTATTGATTAAAATGTTACTTAATTAATTATTAATAATTTATTTATAGTATTAGTATTTATTAAGCCATTTTTTTCGAAAAAAGAAGAAGAAGAGCATTAGGTAAAAGAAAAAGAGTGAGAGTGAGACACAAAAGTTCAACCTGATCCGAACCTGAGGTCCGTGTCTAGAAACCGAGGCTCGGAGTTCACTGAGCCTCAGAAAAAAAAGCCAAAGCAACCACACTCAAAAAATAATGGAACCCAAACCAAAGCTAGAGAGAGAAAGCCAAACAGGGTTTTAGAGAGAGAGAAAGAGAGAGATTTTTAGAGAGAGGTTTTTAGAGAGAGAAAGCAACGACAGATGGGTCAGATCGTGAGGAGGAAGAAGAAAGGTCGTCCTTCTAAAGCAGATCTAGCTCGTCGTTCCGGTCAATCTCCGGTGACTTCTCAATCGGACTTACGACGGAGCCGTCGACAGCGAAATGTGAGGTATAATATAGACTATGATGATTACATCGATGAGGAAGACGAGGAAGAAGATGAAGATGAGAGAAGACGCGAGAAGAAGAAGCTGAAGCTTGTGGAGAAGCTCAACCAGGGTGTAGATGAGGAAGAAGATGAAGATGAAGAGGACTCCGCGCCCAGTCGCGGTAGGCCGCGTGTGGCTCACGCACGCGCGGTTCAGTCTGAGAAACGAAAGTTCGGAAGGAAAAACGATGATGATGAAGAAGAATATGAAGAGGACAGAGAAGAGGAGGAAGAAGAAGAAGTTGAAGAAGGGAATGAGAATGCAGAGGAACACGAAGATGAAGAAGAAGGTGAAGCTGAAAGGGGTGAGGTATGAAAATTGAAAATGAAAATGCGTTTGGATTTGTATGGTTCTGTGGGGAAGGGAAGAAAGAGTGTGTTTTTGTGTGTCCAGCTCAGCGAAAATCACTGAGATTGAATGTTAACAATTGGTCCATTATTCAATATATATCTGGTTTCTCTCTCTAGTTTTTTTCTCTCTCTTTCACTCTCTTTCTGTCTGTGTCGGGATTTTGGGAGAGATAACTAACGGGTCAACTGTCCATAACTAACAAACACACATGTTACATGCAGAGTTTCTTTGATCCCGTTTTCATTTCTCTCTCTATATCTATTTATGACTATATGGATATGACTCTGTGTCTATAACTATAACCTTAAACCAAGGCATTGATGTTATTGTTGTTTGTAGTTCGGATTTTTTCTGTCTCTGTCCCTGTCTTAATCGCATCTTAGTCTTTGTTTTTTTAACGGTTTAAGATTACATTATTAATTGTGTGTGTTTCTTGGTTTTTGTTGTGACAGGTAAAGGGCATAAAAGTGGATTCCAAAGGGCTCCACTCTGTTACAGGTTTGTATGTGTGATTTGTTGGTGAAGTATTGTTTTTTGTTACTGTGTCTTCCTCTGTTGTGTTTCTTATCTTGCTTTTTTGTTTTCACTGTTAGGAACCCCTTTGAAGGTTCTGTCTGTGATTCCGTTGCCGGATAAGAGGACCCTTGAATTGATCCTTGACAAGCTTCAGAAGTAAGGATTTTTGTTTCCTCTTTTCTTCTATTATTTTTCTTTTTAAGAAGGGATTTTGGTTTCTGCTATGGTGGATGATTTTGTATATTCCACGGTGATGCCGTCTTTATGGTGTTTGTTTTCTTGATTTGGATGATGGCAGGAAGGACACGTACGGTGTGTATGCAGAGCCAGTTGATCCGGAAGAGGTGTGTGGATTTTTTTCCTATAAATTGTTAGTCTTGATATTCGAATGCAACCCGGGTTGGAAATTAACTTTTTTCCCGTCCTATTTGCAGCTTCCTGATTATCATGATGTGATTGATAATCCTATGGACTTTGCCACGGTGAGGAATAAGTTGGCAAATGGATCATACACTACATTGGAACAATTTGAGGTGTGTTAAAATTTAGTCTGTTCATGGTTGAAGTGGTTGCGGCAAGTTTCTTTTCTTATTAGAGATTTTGATTGTTTTTGCGATATGATTATACTTCTAATCTATGTTGACTATGCTTCTTGTACTGCTCTTACTCGTAACACATGTGGGTTGTGGGCTTTGCTTGAGTTATAACTGTGAATTTTACTTCTACCGCATGCATGTGTTTGGCAAAGACATTGACATTGGTGGTAGAAGAAAATATTCATTTTTTTGTCTGATTGTAACCTGTCTATTTTGGCATTGATAAATCATAATTGATAATCTTCTTAACTTGCTGGCATTATTACGGTTTAGCTCTTTCGTAGATTCATTAAATTTCATCCTCCACGTATGATCTTGCTTAAACCTTGGTAAAACAGGATTCAAAATACAATCAGTATAGAGAAAATTTGGGTACCACATTTATAGATGGATAAATGGTAGAATATCGTCTTAGGTGGTTTGGGTATGGAGCAAATCCCGAGCTTTATTTGCTTTATTATCTGATTCAATCTGAAATTTGGCATAGACAGCGTGTTTCTGACCTAATGTATTAAAAAACAGATTAGTTTGCTGACTTTTGAATGCAATTGTTGAATGCAGAGTGATGTATTTTTGATTTGCTTGAATGCAATGCAATACAATTCATCCGACACGATATACCACAAACAGGTAGGAAGATGATTACTTTCCTTTTCTTTGTTTAAAAAATATGGTATCTAACCATTTAGTTGTGCTTGATTTATGATCCCTGAATTTGTTACAGGCACGTTCAATACAAGAACTAGCTAGAAAGAAGTTTGAGAAGTTAAGGATCAACTTAGAACGCACTCAGAGTGAGCAGAAATCTGAACAAAAAACTAGATCCAATTCCTTAGGTAAGAATCTAGCAAAAAGGCCACTTGGTTATGCTTCACAGGAACCCGTTGCCTCTGATTTCTTCTCTGGTGCAACTCTTCCCACTACTGGAGATGTACTGCCAATTTCCCATCCAATGCAAGGTATCCCTAGTGAAAGGCCTGGCAACGTTGAGGGCCTTGTGGCAGGGAATGCTTTCTTTATCGATGCAAATCAAGAAAAAGCAGAAGACTTTATGTCAGGTATCCGATGAGATAAAGCTCTCTATTTGATCTGTTATACTGTGACTTCACTGTTAAATTTTTTGAATACTCCCAAAGTAGGATCTTAATATAACAACTGATCATTTTTCGTTTGATTGTTCTTTTATTGTTTCAGGGAGAAGTCTTCTCTCCAAGATGGGAAGGAAATCATCTGTGCAAGATTATGAAAGGAAATCATATGTACAAGATTATGAGCGCCGTGCTACTTATAATATGTCTAATCCATCAGTTACTGGATCTGATTCAGTCTTTACAACATTTGAGAGTGAAATTAAGCAGTTAGTTACTGTATGTATCATAAGGAGTGAGATTTAATCCTTGAATACTTTTTTTTTCTTTCTTAAAAGCAGTTAGTTATGTTTTTTTTTTGGCAACAGGTTGGACTTCAGGCTGAATATTCCTATGCCAGGAGTTTGGCTCGTTATGCTGCAACTCTAGGACCTACTGCCTGGAAAATAGCTTCTCAGAGGATTCAACAGGCACTGCCATCTGGCTGTAAATTTGGTCGTGGTTGGGTTGGAGAGTATGAACCACTCCCAACCCCAGTATTAATGCTTGATAACTGTGTCCAGAAACAACATAGTCTGGCAACAACGTTGCAGCCTACTACTAAATTAACAAAGGTTGGTAAAGATGGTAAGAATGTAGAATCCACCTTGGAACATCGTGTAAACGAACCGATCTTTGAGGGAAAACAGCCTTCAATTCGCCCTGGTAGTGGGCTAACATCAGAAGGAAGACCATCTTTGTTTGGCTCTGCTGGGTTAAGACCGAATACTTCTACCAATCTCACTCATCCACAACCAAATGTCCAAACCAGGAACATTGGGAAGTCTGAGAATACAGATTTGAAACAAGTGGAGTTGAACTCTTTACCCTCAAGCGATCAGAACAATGCCAGTTTAGTTGCAAAACTTAAAAGTAACGCACCTGCAGCTGTTTCTAAACCTAGAGAGATGATACCAAGTAACATGAATATTTTAACATCTATGCCTTTCAAGCAGCCAGATGCTAACGGGGTTGTTAGTGGAGAGTTACCTAATGGAAACGTCAGGAATTCTAGTTTCAATAGACGGATGACTGCTCCGTCATCTGAAAGTACATCAACTCAAACAGTCAGATCGGCTCCCTTTGTTACCCATGGGCAAGAGCAGAGTCTTAGCGACCCAGTTCAGATGATGAGGATGTTATCTGAAAAGGCCCAAAAGCAGCAAGCTTCTAGTTCATCTAATCATCCGCCTACCGAAACTCCACCAGTTCAGATGATGCGCATGTTATCCGAGAAGGCTCAAAAGCAGCAGGCTTCTAGTTCACATAATCATCCCCCTACTGTAACCCCACCAGTTCGGATGATGCGGATGTCATCCGAGAATGCTCAAAAGCCGCAGGCTTCTAGTTCATCTAATCATCCCCCCACTGAAACTCCACCAGTTCAGATGATGAGGATGTTATCCGAGAATGCTCAAAAGCCGCAGGCTTCTAGTTCATCTAATCATTCCCCTATAGAAACTCCACCAATAACTCCAAATCCACCGGGACGAAGAGAAGACTTGAGCAATGCTTCAGCAGCAGCTGCCCGTGCATGGATGTCTGTAGGAGCTGCAGGGTTTAAACAAGGACCTGAAAATTCTAGTTCACCCAAAAGTCAGATTTCTGCAGAGTCATTGTACAACCCGGCCCGTGAGTACCAGCAGCATCTTTCACGAAGTAGGGGTGAGTTTCCTTCTGGCGGAATGCCTTTCCAGTCAGAGAAGAACTGTTTTCCATTTCAGGCACTTGTACCTCAACATCATGCAATTGGTGTTTCACAGTTTTCAAACCGACCTATGGTTTTCCCTCAACAATTAGCAGCTTCCGACCTTTCAAGATTTCAAATGCAGCCGCCTTGGCAAGCTGTCCGGCCTCATAGTCAACCAAGACAGAAACAGGAATCGCTTCCTCCTGACTTGAATATTGGTTTCCAGTCACCTGGGTCCCCTGCAAAACAATCTTCTGGTGTGCAGGTTGACTCACAGCAACCAGACCTTGCTTTGCAGCTATGACAGGGCATTCCAATTCTGTTGTGCATGTTTCTGCAAGAATTTGACTGATTGAATTTCTGCTCCTGTCATTGGATGTTGATTTCGTTTCATAAAGCTGAGGAAAAGGTTACTGCCTTGTTACTTTAGGAAGGGCTGAAATGGATACCATGCGCCGGAGAAGATTGTTATTCGTTGGATGCTAATATTGGGGATCTTAAGTAGGATTTGACCCAAGGTAAATTGACAGAGTTTCCTTTTGTTCAAAGACACGGGTAGATTTGTGAGAAAATAGATCCGTGACCTTTCCATATTTTCCCGACGAGTATTACTGAGACGATGCAGCCTGTATTTGTACTATCCTGGAGTTGAAGACCAAAATATCATCGAGTCAATTGATTACGATGAAGTGTTGCTTATATTCTTCATTAGGTGGCGAAATATCCTGTTGATGCCTTGTACATTCAATACAAATGGGTGAAATCCAGTTGCCTAGATTTTCATTTCATCAGAAGATTACTTGTTTTCCTGATTGGTGGAGAAGGCATCGCATTATAGTCCTTAATGCTGTTATTATTATTATTCTGTACATGAAATGTTTACTTGTCATGAATGTAAGAACACATTTGTTTTTTTTCTTGTTTCACCCAATTGGGATGCTACATCAAATATTCAGGTTATATACAATCCACTCTTTGAAATTATGCTACCTTGTCTGTTTCTTGTGCTGTTTTTTTTCTAGGTAAGCCGTAAAAATGTAGAATGATTTATGATACATAATTCCTACCCAATTTTAATTTTTAAATTAAGATAATATGTTAAAACTTCGAGAAAGAAATGATAAATTATAGATTATTTGATGGAACTTAATAAAAAATTCTATAAACTGCTTTTAAACCAGTACAATTGGTTTGGATTCCTTCCTAGAATATTCATAGGGGTAGTAGAAGATACTTGAGAAGGACAAAATCCGTGATAGGTATCAAAACAAAGTAGGTCCACAGCTTCATGAAATTAGTGGCAACTCTTGTCTCTTGAAAAATACTACTATGTCTTTGTCAACCTGAGGTTTTGTTATGGGACAAAATTTCTAACATGGCTTGGTTGTTGGGTTTCCTTGTCCTTTCATTCATCACTTTTTTTTTTTTAAGTTTTGTATCTGTCTTGCGATAGACTAATGTAAAGGAATCAATTATATCGTCCATTTACGGGGACTCATTTAAAACTAGAACAAAAATTTGTATGAACTTGACTTAACCCAAAAATAGTTAGCATTTAGCGGAATTCGAACTTGAAAACACTTTAGAGAGAGAAGACTCATGTAGTAGAAGATGTGGAGGAAGATTTTAACAACAACCTAAATGGCATAGAGGTGCCCCTGAATAAGAAAAGTAACGAGATTGTTACTAGAAAGAAGACACGACTTGTAGCTCAAGACTATGATCAAATCGATAGGGTTGACTTTGATGAAGCTTCTCCTCCTATTATCCCTCTTGAAACCATTAGATTGTTACTATGATTATTTTGTCTCCTTAAGTTCAAACTCTATCAAATAGATGTGAAAAATGTCTTACTCAATAGGTACTTAAAAGTGAAAGTCAGTTAGAATGTTAGTAATGATGTTAACAACACGAAGGATATCATTGTGAAAGACAATGAAATTCTTATGATAGTTCAGATTTATGTTGACAACATTGTGTTACGAAAAATGTCAAGTAAGCTGCCAGATCATCTTATTCAACAAAGGAAAACTGAATTCGAGACGATCATGGTAGAAGGAATTACCCACTTTCTTGATTTTCAAGTGAAGCAAATGAAGGATGACATCTTTGATTCCCAAAGTATATATGCTAAAAATATTGTGAAGAAATTTAGGTTGAATAAGTATGATATTCTAAAGAAAACATCAAGGAAAAACATGAAAAAAGATATTGCAGTTACGAAAGCTCACATAGTTCGTATGGAAGGCATAACTATTAAAAGAAAAGTCGATGGTAAATCCGTAAGTATTTCATCTCTCGTCAAACTTAAGGATGCTCAACGTAAAATATATGGAACATTCATCTTGTGTGATACAGCATGTCTGACACGTTAGAGATTGAGTTTTCAACCCTGAAGAAGGATGAGAAAGTTACCCATGTTAATTCTCAAGTGAATAGTATTTTGAATAAGGTGAGTAACAAAATTGATGACAATGTTGATGATTATGTTTCCGTTTTTGATGATAACGAAGTTCATGCAATGTTGCTCCTATCAATTAGGATGAGTTTGTAAGCGAAGAGGTTAATGACAATGAGATTATCAATGATGGCTTTGTTGGTGAAGTTTTTACTATCAAGAAATTTTCTAGAAAAGAAAACAAGGTTGCTCCTAGCAGTGCAGAACATGATGTCGAGGAATTTGTCATTCTCATATATTGCATGACATTGTTGACAATGTAAAGATTAATGAACATGATGTTAAATGTGTTATAAATGTTAAAACGTCTACTGAAGGAAAAAAGCTTTCTAAGAATTCTCCATCTATTTCTTTTCATTTTGAAGAAATAACAATCAAATGGAATTTTGTTTATAATAAGAGGATGACTCTTGATAACGAATTCTATGTTGAAGCACCTAAGTACAATGAAATTAAGAAGCTTCTTAGTGTGCTCAATTATTGAAGATAATGCTGAATGTTGGATCTTGTTATCCTAAGCTGGTGAAAGAATTTATGGTTAAACTTCATATCAAACGCAATTGGCTGGTGCATCATTGGTTTTCTGTACCAGGTAGAAACTCATGCTGCATTAGAACGTGGAGAATATTTTTATCAATTTGTTAAACATGTTGAGTCTCATGTCGTTTAGCCACTATTGGTGTTCCCTGTTAATATATGGTGTTCTGAGTGATCAAAAGAAAGACATTATTATTTGTGATGATGAGTTTGGTAGTGTCCCACTGAAGGTGAGAAAATACTTAGAAGGGGGGTTGAATAAGTATGACAGAAAATAATCAAAGATAAAAACTCAAGTATTTTTATCCTGGTTCGTTGAACTCAACTACTCCAGTCCACCCTTTTCAAGAGTGATTTGCCTTTCTCAACAAGGACTTAATCCACTATTCAAATCAACTGATTACAAATAGCAACACCTAAGAACAACTGTTCTTAGTCTTCTCAAGAGCTACTGATCTAACCTAGATCCTCTTAAGGAAAACTTCCTTTACAAATTAATGTAATACAATGTAAGAGTAATAAATTGCTTCTATGAAAGCTATAAACACAACTGTGTTATTTCTCTAAGTTTAGAACAAAGTATGAACTATAAAGAATATGAGAGCTTGAGAGTTTCTTCGCTTGAGAGTAAGTTTTTCAAAATTCGTCCCTGAAGAAAGTGCTATGATATCCTTTATATAGCCACTTGAATATTGGAGAGAATATAATACCGTTGGAGAAGATATTTCCAATATCACATAGTACTGTCCTTTGTACTATTGCAGCAGAGAGACGGCGCACAAAATGTGGGTGTAGCAATTGTCTGCTGAGCTGTGAATTTACCATATATGGAATGTATCAGAGGAATAATCTTCTTGCAGAGATTTATGTCTATCCCAATTAAGGAAAGATTTGCTGGCATATTCCAACGGATATATTAAAATAATCTTCTTCAAATAATTCTTCAGATAGTTCAGATCAACAATCAATATCAGAGTCTTCAGTCTTCAGAATCTTCTGGAAACTTCAGAGCCTAAGATGTTCTTCAGATGTTGCTGAATCAGAGTCTGGTGCAGCTGTGTGCTTGAAGCGTAACATGCTCTTAGATCAGAGTCTTCACTCAGATCAGAGTCTTCTCTCATTCAGAGTCTCTTCACTCAGAGTCTTCTTTCATTCAGATTCTTGATAATATATGCAGCGTGTTGTATCTTCAGAATCTTGATGACTAAGCTCTTATACTTCAGATTCTTCTAATCTTCAGATGCTCTTGAGCCATTCAGAATTTATTGTTCACATCAAATTTGCTCTTTAAGATTAAAATCTTTTGTGCCTGTAGAAAACAGTTTAGAACAAATTTAGAGAGTATAATTCTTGTATACAAATTATCATTAATGTTATCATCAAAACTTAGAGATATTACTAAGACACAATCTGTGCTCTTACAATCTCCCCCTTTTTGATGATGACAAAACATGAGAAATTTGTTCAATAAAAAATATGAATTAAAATTACTCCCCCTGAGATTAACAATCTCCCCCTGAAATGAATACTCTAATGGAATTAGATACTTCCCTTTCTGGTTGAGTACATTTCAGATTCAGAGCCTGATTGAAGCCTGGTTGACATATGTTTGACTTCTAGAGTCAAAGCTTGATGCCATATTAAAGCTTGATGCCAGATGAACAACTTCAGAACACCTGGTTGTTTATCTTGCCATTTCCTGTCTTGAGTTATCTTTTAGATCATAGTACTCAAGGTTAGATATCAGAGTCTGGTCTACTCAGATTTAGCTATTTTTGATCAGGTTCTGAAAAGATAGATCTCAGGAAAAACTTCAATGAAATTTGTCAGATTTTTTAATAATATCTGGGACACTTAAATTCAAAGAATGTTAGTAACATGTCTGACTTAGTTCAGATAATTGCTTATAGATTTGAACAATCAGATTCTATTTTGTTTCTCCCCCTTTTTGTCATAATCAAAAAGAATTTTAAAAGACAGTAAAGATGCAGAAGAAACACATATCCAGATAAGCAAAAAGATCATTGTCATTAAGTCAAGAGAACATCCAGATTCAGATAAAAGCATACAAAACATATCAGAAGAAAATCAAAACAAAGCAAAACATGAAAAACTTGTGCAAAACATCAAGTAGGTTTAGCAGATGAGGCTTGTTGAGAAGCAATGAGTTGCAGCAGTGCTGTAATCCTTTCTGAATTTTCATCTTGCTTAGCCATCCAAGTTTTCATTTCTTCATTTGTTTTATTTTGATCAACCATAAAATCCTTAAGTTCTTTGACATCCTTCTGAAGATCTGTAGATTCTGAAAC